GCTTGTGCTGCTGTGTGCATGTGTGTCTTCTGTGTGTGCATTTACAGAGAGAGAGCACAGCCTGAGATAGAACCTAACCTGACTTGATGGTGAAAGTTGGGGTTTCCTTGTATCTAGATCCTCGTCTCAGGGGCAGGCACACACACAGGATTTGTACAGGGAAGAGCTGCCCAAAGGTTGAGAATAAAATCCTTGGAAAGACCTGCTTGCAAGACAGGCCCTTGGTTTTTGTCTGGGAATTTGATTTCGGGAAGATTCTGATTCTTTTCCCATAAGAATGACCTGCAGAACCTACAGGTTTATGGAAACTTATGGTTTAGACTCATCCACTGACTTCCCCCGAAAGGCCAGAATTTCAGTGGGTGCCAGGCAGAGGATGCCTAGAACACCAGCCCCCTGGGAGGGTAAGAAACTTGAGGGCCTGAGGAGCCTCCCTGGGACAGAATTCTTCCCGGATAATCACATGATTTGATGCTGGGGAAGAAGCCCCTCCTTGTGGCTCCCCTGGGACAGGTCTCCTGGAAGCTTCTCCTGGTTTCCTTGGACATTATCTCATCCTCTGCTGCCCTTTGCTGGCTCTGCTGTCTCCTGAAGGAAATCACAGTGACAAGGTTGAATCCCTAGGATCTTAGAAGTCTTTTTAGTGACAAAAACTGTGGCCTGAGGTCTTGGGACCCTGGACACAGGATAACCTGAGTAAACAGACAGGGTCTAAGGCTTCCTGCCTTCTCTTCCCTCTGTCCCAAGGGATAAATGGGACCAGGGCATCGTGGTTTGCACTGAAGTCACCACTCCCGGGTCACTCCAAGGTTTTATTCAGTCTTGAGCACTGAAAACTCTCTGCTGCTCCCCACCATCCACATGACACCCCCAGAACAAGCTCCTGTCCACACTCCAACTTCTGCCCCCCTGACTTTCAGTGTGGGCTCCTGTCCACACCACTCTGGGTTCTCTCAGTGGCTCCTGGATCCAAAGGGGGAAGCCCAGGTGCAGCCCCAGGCGCCCTCCCGGAAGCTGCTGGAGCAAGAAGCACGCTGATCTCACGTGCCCCCTGAGCACCCACTGTTCCCCTCAGGACACCACACGCCTCTCTTGTGGGGTCCCCAGTATTAGGAGGGACTCCTCTGCCAGGCAGCACACGGACTTTTCGTGTTCTGGAGAAAATACCCACATGGTCCAGCTGTTGTTTCTCCAAAACACAGGCTAATGCCCATTGTTTCCTTCTGTATTTTCTCCTTTAAAAAGTTTGCAGTGGGATCATAAGTAATACAAACCACCCGCACGAACGTTCTTCATTTAACACGTTTCACTGTGATTCTTTTTTTTTATTAACACATTTATTGTGATGTGATTCCT